GAAAATTTTACTGCCTGCCCTGCACGTTGCCAGGAAGCAGCTCACTTTGCAAAAGGCTTGATTGGTTTGCTCTCCATTGCCAACCCAGAAAGGACTCTGATAGTGTGCTTGAAGATCAGTGATCAGAAGAGAATAAGTTAATGCTGACCTGAGCTGCTGCCGTTCACAAAGGGTGGGTGGCTTCCATTTTCAATAGAGTGGAATGCAGATTTTTGGGATAGAGAGCACTAAGAAAGTTGTCCCATGGAATTGTGGGATACTTCTGGCTGATTCCCAGGTCCCAAATCAAACGGGGCTGCATCTACACTGCAAAGCAATAAGGCTGAGATCCTGGGTTCCAGCTTAAGTCAAGCTCAGACCCTCCAGCACTACAGTGTCCTGGAACCCTGGGCCTGATCCCTGGGTTAGCACAATTGCAGTGTAGACGAAGGTTATGTTTGAGTCTGGGCTCAAGCATGGGTTTTATGTTGCAGGATAGACATACCTGTGGGTATGTCTACACTGCAAAAAAAAAAAATGTGGCTGGCCCATGCCAACCAACTCGGGCTCATGGGACTTGGGCTGCGGGGCTGTTTCATTGCTAAGTAGATTTCTGGGCTTGGGCTGGAGCCCAGGCTCTAGGACCCTGTAGGGATGGAGGTCCCTAAGAGCCCTGTGTTGGCCTGTGTAGAGGAACCACATCAGTTCCATTACATCTGTACCCCTCCTCAACCATGAAGGAAGGGGCCAGATTTTTGCCCTTCCTTCTTTGTGGTGCACTCTCTTATCAATTTTTCTCATATCTCAGTATTGTATGGGGAGTGAGGATGGTATGGTCTGGCAAATGTACAGTGACAAGGTAGGTGAATTCCAGTGCACTGGGGGTGTAGCCGCGCTGGGTGCTACTACACCTTTAGAATGGAGTTTGGGTTCTTTTCCCCCTCCACACCAAACTTGGGTAGAGGAGGATTTGTCCCAGACTGATTTGGGTTAAATTGCTATATTCAGCTGATCATGGTTGGATAACTAACTACAGCACTTCTTTCAGCTCTAATCTCAGCAATATAGTTCCAAGCTTAGATATAAGAAATCTGATTTTGTTTGTCAAAGCTATTTCTAAACTACAGTAACTTCTTTATAGAGTCTTCATCATTAAAGGGCCTGGGGAATCGCCAGGAGTCTTCATAATGTGAAAATGATGAGATCAATAAAGCAGATTTGTAAATACCAATTTACAGAATATAGACTCGTAAATTAAATACTGTAATACTTAAGTTTAGACGATCTTTCTAGGTACAGAGCATAACACTTTCAGAGCCATAGAGTTTATACTGTAAAAGGGTGGGTTATATGAAATGTGATTGATTCATATAACTTCTCTAATAAAAAGTATTGTTTGTTATGTTGGGCTCTTGTGCAAGTAAAGCAAGAGATGCATTCATAGGTTACCAGAAAAAGTCAACTCTTAAATTGCAAACAAAGAGCTTCAGCTACCAACCATATTACATCATCAAAACATCTCATGGACACTCAGAAATAAGCTGTACTTCTGTATGGCAGTGAAGCAGCAAATTGAATTCTCATAATATGTTTTGAAAATGAGTCTTGTTAGGTTTGATGAGGTGGAAAAGGTACTGAGATCACTGGTTTGTTCCAATACATTCAGTACACTTTACTTGGCTGTTTGCCATGGCTAATCTTTTTAATGGCAGTATAGCTTGTAAACCCATTTGGTAGAAAGCTATGCATCTCAGTTTTATAATATCACACCAAGTAGGGTGGTAAATAACTTTCTATTCAAGCATGAAAGCCTTTTTTTGTTACAATCCCAGAAATCTTATTTTAAAAACCTTATCTTGAAAGCTTCAGTAATTCCTTTATGAATTCAGCAATAAGCAGAATAAAAGGAAAACCTCCTGATTTATATTTATTATTTTTTAAATGCACCCATCCAGTCCTCTTATTCAAAGACTTATGAGTTCACCTATCTAGCACTTATTTCTAAAAATACATCAATAATTTAAGAACAATGTCCAACAAATTGAATCATCTCAGAACCCTCTGGATTCCTCAAAAAACTCCCCATTCGCTTACTCACTGTCCTCTTTAGAAAAAGTCTGGGAGAACAACTGAGCCTTGCAGCATGACCTTGAAGGTCAGCAAATTCAAAGTTATGGAGAATCCAAATATTAAGTGCATCCCATTGTCAATGATCCCTCACTGAAAAGGAGCTGGTTTCAGCCCCCTGACAGCTAAACCAGGGGCTATTAGCTGAAGTGCCTGAGATGATTTTGACTCTGTGGCCTCACATGGATGTGGTCTCTGAGGTAATCAGAGTTCAACCTATTTAAATCATTATAGGTTACTTCAGCTGCATTTAGCTATCACAAAACCCACACGTGACGGAGCATCCTCTTAGAAAATGTCCCTAAACAAATAAACCATCATAGTCTGTGGAGTGGTCTACAGAGAGCATATCACAGTGTCCCCTTCTCAAAATGACTACTGTGGTGAGGTCTGTATCCAACAGATGAAGATGCATCCTTCGAAACATCTTTCATTCTCATTGACTGCTGCTACAGGGACATCCAGAAGCAGTTGAAGATCCAACAAAACTCCCTGGTTTGGTTGGACAATTTCTCCGCATTAGAGAGCTGATACCACCTCTTCGGTGTCTTCACATTGAACCTACCAGTTTAACTCCAGTCTTGTCCGGATTGATTTGCATCCAAAACCCAAGACCCGATTCCATCATTCTTATGTGAGAGAACTACTTAAAACTATTGTGGCAACAGAAGAAACTTGGATTTAGTAAGGGATACTGTAGCGGTGTAGCAGAAAATGGTAGCCCTCAGTGCTGTGTCAAAATTTAAATACCAACTATGCAAATGAATGCCTCTCCCAAGTCAATGGATGAACAAAGTTAAGAAGGAAACATGGCCCGACTGACACCTGAAAATCTGCAGTTTGGCTCATGTGTCCAGGTACTTCTTGTACCCAAACATGTCTGTCTGGTTTTGGCCTAAGCATTGTCCAATTAATATTTGCTACTACTGTAATTGCACAAAGAGGAATAAAACTTAAAACAATTAGGAGAACTAAAGAAGAGCCATTCTTTTCAGAATCCAGTGGCATTTATTCTCCACTACAACATTTTTATAAAAAATTACCCCTTAGATGTTTAGCATATGGGCTTTCATAATCAGATGTTATGAACAACTAGGCAGGTCAAATAGTGGGCTTAACATTTTGAAACTTTACTAGTTTTTTTCAGAAGGTATAATTTTCTTGGTTGCTATTCAACTATTTATTCATTTATTTATTGCCGGACAGTTCCCATTAACATCACTCAGGAGCAGCAGAAAGAATATTAAGCACATAGTGCCATTCTGTCCATTCTGTGGTATTGTTTCGTTGGCTTCATAGTAGAGGTTAGAGCTGATAACTTTTCCTTTGCAGTTAGGATGACCAGATAGCACGAGTGAAAAATCGGGACGGGGGTGGGAGGTAATAGGAGCCCATATTAAAAAAAAAGCCCCAAATATCGGGACTGTCCCTATAAAATTGGGACATCTGGTCACCCTATTTGCAGTTTCCCTGTTTTTTTTCATTAGGGCTGAACCTTGATTGTGCTGGCTGTAGATGGTGACGGTAGGGTTGCCAGATGGGTAGATAAAATTTGGCTAAAATAGAATTATAAAAGGGAGGGGGATTAAAATTATATAACAAGGAACTAATGGGTATCTTGTGATGTTAAAGCGCAGGAGCTCCCTTGCTCATTGCTTGCAAATATGCTTAGGCAATATAGTAATAGCAGGAAGCTTCATTAGATAAGCATCTATATTGAATTCAAAGAAAATGCACCCACATATACCTTCCATCTTATCTGCTTTATTCCAAACACCTTTACCAAAGAGACAAAATATGTGTGTGTGCTATTACTGTGACTTCAGATTGAGTTATGGCATTTTGTAAAGCTTTTTAGTTTCATTTCCCCTTGTTTTCATTTGCCTTTCAGTCATTATCTCCCCCTGTATCACCAGCTGCCCGTTCTTAAAGAGAAAGCCCACAGCCATGCTTCCCCTTGAGCCATCAGGGAGCCCAGAAGAGCAGCCAGAGTTCACCTACCACTTGGATTTGTATGGATAGATCTCTGTATTTCAGTGAAGTCTAGGCCGCTGTGGGGTTTTCAAGTCACTGACTCTGTGTCCTGGGTAATTCCTGAAATAGTTCCCCCTTGAGGGAGTCATTCAAAGGAAATTCAGTGAGAAGAACATCAGTTTCCTGAGTACTTCCCCACATTAATTTATACCCCAGAGTCATATGCAATGGTCCACTGTGTTCAAAGATTTTGTTCTTGCTTTAGTCCTTCTCCATTGTTGTTGTTCTTGTTATTTATTATTGTAGAGCTTAGGAGCACCAGTCATAGACCCCATTGTGCTAGGTGCTGTACAAACACAGAACAAACAGCCAGGCCATGCCCCCAAAGAGTTTACAATCTAAGTATAAGACAAAATTCAACAGATGGATCTCTAAAAATAAGAGCTTATTTTCTCTCCCAAAAAAAATAGGTGCGAGGTGAGAGTGTGGTGCTTTGAGATTTAAAGGGAGATGAAGAAAAGTTTTTAGAAGAACACACAACTTTTTAGACTAAAATGAGTGTATAAGGATGAGGAGCAAAATAGAGGTAAACTATGACTGTTTAAAAAAAATAACAAGTCATTGATTTTTATTAAGGGCCAGCTCCTCTGAGGTGCTAAGCACCCCTCTTTCTCATTGAAATCTAAGGGGATGAGTACATTGAGCACTTTAAAGGAATTGCTCAGCATCTTGCAGGATTAGGCCTTAAATTTAGGAATGGGAGGGACATATGTGTTAAACAGGTACACTTTGAAAGAACTGACTTTTGCAGGTTTAAAAAAAAAACGGTGCGGATTGAGCCAGTGGCTATTAAAGCTGCCTTGCAGACAGTTAAAAAGCCAGGCTGGTTGCTGACCGATGTTGCACTGATTCTTTTCCAGTTATCCATACAGTGAAGATTGTAGCCAGGGAAAGCAGTACATGAATACTAGATGTCCAGCTTGGTGTGATAGAATTCTGATGTCGCATTCAGCCAAGGAACTGATTCTAAAAGTAAGTACACCCATGTGATCACATTATTTTCTAGTTATTTCTTCATTTATCTTCAACGTAGCGTTTGTTTTTGTTTGATATTTCTTGCCTCTCCCTCAATTCTTAACTGTCCAGAGTAAACCCCAGCGATAGTTGAAGGCAGCAACACGGAAGCAATAATCACATTTTTCCTTTATACAAAACTTTTCATCTGAGGATCTTAGTGTTTTACAAACACTGTACAATTAAGTTTCACAACACCTCTGTGAGACATAGTCCTCTGATTTCAGTGCACAGTGATAAGCCTAATTTTGTCAATGCCGTAGCAACAATGTAGCTCAAGAATTTCCCAGTTCCCCCCCCCCCTTCTCCCTCCCTGGCCCTTTTTTGCTGTACAGATACTGAGCCAGATCCTGGGATCAGACCAAACTACACACTTCACAACCGAGTAGAAAGGGGACCTTGGTATTCCCCTTATCCTGTGTGTAGGACTGGTCCCTATGCCAGGTTACAGCAACCTGAATGCTGTCACAATTTACACATGTTGCAAATGGGCCCAGAGAACCAAAAACACATAAGGAGATCATAGGGGCATCCGATCCAGGCCTCTTTGTTCTTACCATGCCCCATTTTCCTGCTATGCCAGAAGTGGATGTGAGGGACATGCTAGAGCAGTGGTGAGCAACCTACGGCACGCGGCCCGTCAGGGTAATCCGCTGGCGGGCCGCGAGACAGTTTGTTTACATTGACCGTCCGCAGGCACGGCCACCCACAGCTCCCAATGGCCGCGGTTCACCTTTCCCAGCCAATGGGAGCTGCAGACGGTCAATGTAAACAAATTGTCTCGCAGCCCGCCAGCGGATTACCGACAGGCTGCAGGTTACCCACCACTGTGCGAGAGTGTCTGTGCTGTGACTTTCTACCACATTACAGTGAGGTGATCTTCTTGGGGTTATTCCAGAGGGCTTTACTGACAGATTGTGATGGCTGTGCAGTCACAGCAGCTTCATCACACCCATGAATCTTGCCCGCCTTCTCCAAAAATGTCTTGGCTTGACAAGCTTATTTAAGACACAACGCTCTGTGTTTATCTTTGTTTTTCTGCATACTAATGCGTTTTCTTAACATTCGTTAATTACAATAGGTAGGGTTGGAAAATAAATCCTCATGCTACTGGCTCCATGCGTGTGTGTGTGTGTGTGTGCGTGCGTGTGTGTGTGTAGTACTGAAACATTTCAAACTTGATTTATGTTTATAATCTTCTCTCTTTCCCTCTCTCATCAGTGTTGTGTATCTCATGATAATGTTTGCTTTGCAGTAAGTTAAATAATTACAATCAAAAGATAACTCACTGAAATGTGAGACCATTTTTTCCATAGGTACTCAAGTTTCCATCTCTCGAAAGCACTTCTTCTCACATGTTAAACCCTAAGAAGTGCTGGTATTAACACCTTTTAAACTTTTCACCAAATCCTCATTGGTGGTGAAATTCACCCCTCATTGCAACTTGGTTTGTTCAGGGAAATTCTTGAGGTCTGGTGAATGGAATTCACCTCCTTAACTTGGGGACAGGCTGTGGCTATGGTACAGCCCCTCTGTGACTAATCCTGTCACAGGTCTGGAACAGCATTTTAAGCCCTTCTGCATCTCCTGTATAAATGTTGCCAGCCAATGGATCCACAGAGATTCCAGATCTCCATCCATGATGGCCTTTTTGGGGCCAGGATAGGGACCTCCTTCATGTGCGGAAGCACTGCAGCAGCCCCCATGTGGCTGCTCTGTCCAAGGTCTTCCTATACAGCCACAAGGCTGAAATATGAAAAGGGCCCTATGCACCTGGATTGATTTAATCTTTTAATTGGTGGTTAATGCCATCAGTGAGCTCAAGATAAAGGCAATATTATTCTATTTATTAGGCACAATAATTAAAATGTATACAACATCTGAATACTGTGGAACCCTAGTATTCAGTAAGAAAGCAATACCGGGAAAACAGAGTTGCCAAAGAAGAGGTAGGAAGAGAGAATGAACTGGATATGACCTTTCTATGCAATACTGCAGCATAAAAAGTAATGGAAATTTGGGCTGCATATGTAGAATCATATACCAAAGAGATGATAATTTTGCATCTCTATATGACACTGGTAAGACAGTAAATACAATATTGCATATGCTTCTAGACATCCATGGAATTCTCCATAACAAAGGACAGAGTGACCAATGAGGGAAGATTTTAAAAATTAGCTATGAATCAGAGGAGATATAACTGTGTATAAATGTTTGAAGGTGAAAACACCACCAAAGAGAGGAATTGTTTGATTATATTAGGGAGTGTAACCAAATGTAATGGGACAAACTTAAACATAGGAAAATGAAGGCTGAACACCAGAGAAAATCTGTAACAATGAGGTCAATTGGCCTGAAATAATCTCCATAGGGAAGTGGCAGAAGTTCACTTGGAGCATTAAGGGCTGAATTTTCAAAATCCTTTTTAATCTTGTGTCTGCAATTTTGCATTTGCAAATTTTGGGCATGCTATTTTGGATATGGACAAAGGTTTGTGCATACAAAAATTACAGAGGGAAATTAGAGCCACATTTTCTGCTGATGTAAATTGCACAGCTGCATTACCTTCAGTTTAGGTGTTCCAATTTACTCCAGCAGAGAATAAGGTTCTTATCCAGCTGTAGGCCACTTGGAAATTTTGGCCCATAAAACTTGAGCAAAGCAATAGAAAATATACAATAGGGAAGAGTACTGAATTGGTGGAGGAAAGAAAAAGATGATGCAATAGGTCTAAGTCATTTCTAAATTTCTTGATTGTATGCAGCAAACTATATTTGCCTTCCCGCCAACTTCAGATCTTATTTCTTTATAATGGTTTACAATGTGCACTATTAGAAATATTTGAACCTTAAAAAAAGGATCAGTGAGGAAACCAAAAGCACTCTATCAGACTATACTTAATTGCAAGTCTGATACATTCTTATACCTTAAATAGTTGTGTATTTTTAAAAATTAGAGACAGAATTTCTTTGGTATAACTAATTGTTGAGAAATTATTATGCGTTGTTCTTTTTTTTTTTATGTGTTAGTGCTTTGTTGTAGGTATCTGAAAAATTGCTTTTCAGCTCTGGCTGACTTATCTCTTATTTCAAAGAACAAATTTTAGTAAATCGGCACTTTTTCAGTGCTTTGTAGAAAAAGGAGTAGTGTGTGCAAATTAGCACACAACACAGTATGTTCAACTCCACACACTAGGCGTTACAGATTGTACAGACATGGGGCTGTAAACAGCTTTCGTGCAACATCATCTATCATGCTATGGTCGGTTACCTCACCATCATGTTATTTTATGCTTCCTGAGCCCTAAAACACCAAAGGTTGCCCACTGCTAGGGAGTTGCGTTGATGCCTGATAGCATGCAGTAATGAATGCTCAGCCAAGTGTATATTGTTTCTGCTTGTGCGCCGCTGTAATTTGTTTATCTGTCTAAAGATTATGCAGTTGAAAATCCACAATTTTATGCTGCCTTTGTAAATTATCAAGTCGCTTTTGATGAATGTATCCCCACTTCCGATGGTAGTGGCATTATGATCTTGAAATATTGGAAAGTGCTCATGCATACAATGCAGAAGGTTATGTTTTTATATTTTTTGGCAGACAACCATGCTATAAAGTAAATCTGACCTTAAGCTTCCTAACTGCATTAAAGATAATTCAGTTTTAACTTTATAGTCCTAAATGCTGCTGTTTATATAAAGTTCTTGCCCAGTCAAACTTGACTGATTACAGATGAGAAAATCTTGACTGTTTCATACAAAATAAATGAGTATTGTAAACTATTTTAAAGCACATCTATGATTGTATTAGAGACTTGCCAGTGTGCAGACTCCAGATTTAATTAGCTTCCAGGAATTGTTTAGTATAATAAGAAATTGTAAGCCTCTCTGTGTGTTTATTTCTAAAGGGTGGTGCTAGATAAAATAGGCTGTCAAAATCACACGTTCAGTGTAAATGGCAGAAAGATGAGTACGTTCTATTATTTATTAAATCATAGCTGCAAAGAGAACAAGTGTATAAGAAGAAAGTTCAACATAGAGTAGAATGCAAGCAGTTCACAGGGCTGGCTAGAGGAATGCTCGCCTTCAGTTGATTTTCTTAAGATATTTTGAATGCTCTTTTTATTAAAGGAAAGTATCTAATAGAAATAGGGTTCTTTTGCTTTCTTCTTTCATAGCTAAATATTTTAACTGTTTTGTACAAAATATTCAACAGCTGTTTCTACTTGTTTAATTTTATATAGTTGATGCAATAACACAATGGGGTCCATGGCTAGGGCTCTTAGGTGCTCAGGTAATTCAACTAATAAATAATAAGGATAAAGGATGTGTTAATGTTTCTGCTTGTACATTTAAAATACTACTATATGGGTACATAGGATGTTTTGTAATGAGACAATGTGAATTCCATGTTATTCCAAGAGCGACATGCCTGTCCTATGTAATTCAGTAAAAAGATTTCTGAGCTTTTCCTAAAAGAGAGGACTTTGGTGAAACCACTTGCTGCATTTCACTGACACAAAATTTGAATGTAGCTATAACTGAGTCCTTAGTTTCCACATCTTAAATATTAGTTGCTAAAAGTTGGTAAAGCCCTAAAATGGAGTGGTAGTGATTTGGAAGTATTTTATTTGGAAATTTCACAAACTTTGCAATGGATATTTAATGTAACATTCTATGTAATCTTTGTTCTGAGGAGCCAAATTGAATATGCCCTCACTAAGAAATCTTGTTGCATGTTCTTACTGAACTTCCATTCCTGTAACCTTTCCTTATTTAGTTTTCTCTGAAATCTGAAAAATAACTGAACTGACTAGTCTTTTTTTTTTAATTAGTCAGAAAATGATGAGAAGATAGTGATTTATGACCATATTGGGCCAAATGTCTGCATGGGGGATCACAAGGTAATTTAACTCAGTTTTACAGTATTGTATTATACTACATTTTATTAGGAACATAGAATGTGTGTATTAATTTCTATTCCTTTTATATTGAAGTCAATTATTTTCCCCCTTTTTTATTTTAAACTAGATGCTTCGGAAAATTTTATACAAGTTGGGGTTAAATTCAACTGAAATCAGTAGAAATGCTATATTAGGTACAAGCACAAGTTTCAGTAAAGAATAGGATAATGTTCCAGAAGGCAGCATAAAAACATACTATAATTTGAAATCAGTATGAGCAAATATATCTGTATTTATAACCTTACCTAAATAAAGTGCCCATGAAAAACTTTAGTTTCACTTAGTTATCGAGATTGTTTCCTGAATATAATTTTAATGAATTTGGTGTCTAGTTGACTGCTAGAATAATAAAATGCTGACAGTACCATATATAAGCAACAGGTAAGAAAAAGAATACTTAGCGATATGCCAGTTGTTTAAAAAGATCAAAGATGATAAAAACATAAATTTTAAGTAACCCGTATAGTTAGCTAATTCTCTTCTGAAGATACCACCAACTGGAACCGCAGTTAGAAATATTTGATCAATAAGCACCTGGTTTCTTTGAAAATCCTATAAACAACTAAAAACATCTCTGAAATTTTAAGACTGACTATCCATGTAAAAATTCAGTTAGAAATCTGAAAACTATACTGCAATATCATCGACAGATGTACTGCAGTGGCTCTTGAATTATGATTTTAGAAATGGTAATGGGATACTTAATAACTCCTCTGTGTGAGCATGTATGTATGTATGTATATATATAAATGATGACTGTAGAAATAAATAAATACAAATTTACAAATATAGTAAATTTTTATTTATTTATTTATTTATTTTTATAGTCATAATTTTTGTGGCGGTAGTAAAATCTTTTTCAAAGGAAGAAAGGATCTTACTGATCTAGTAACTTGTTTGATAAAATTAAAAGTGCAGTGTCCTTCAGGAATAGAGTAATAGCCAGATTGGATACAATCATTTTGATTTCTTTTATGACTGATTTATTTAACAAGCATCCTCTTTCAACAGAGTTAATATTATGACAAATGAAATAAGGTGCTATGTAGAGGGCTCAATCCTGCTTCTATTGAGATCGATGGCAAGATTCCCATAGATTTCAATGGGAGCACAGGATCGGCCCAATAAGTGGCTGTCTTCCTGGATCTCTTGAGAATTGTAAGATTATAGTAATGAAGGAAGTCTAGATTATTCCATGAGTTTGTCACTGGTTATAGATTGATTCTTACTCTGTTTGAAATAATCATTACAAAGTGTTTGATCTCTTCCTACCTTTCAAGTGTATAACCCCTATTTCTCCCTAACTTGCTGCAGCCTGTGTTCCTGTCCTTTCGAATAGCTGCTGGGGCAGGTAAACCTATTGCAAATGTGCACAAGTGTTGTGTCGTGCAGTGATGTGGTGGTAAATATCATTTTTTTCCCCTTTGTTTATATTTTCTACATCATTTCCCCTTTGTGTTTATTTTTCTTTTAAAAAAATGCCAATTCTGCAACAGGAAAAAGATGCCCTCGAAATGAGAAGATCTTTCGTGAAACCACCCTGTAGCATGGAGGAGGAAAGAATAAGCAGTATATTGAAATGCATAATCCTAACAGCTGTATTGATAAATCAAGTCTTGAGTGCCACATTTTTAGACTGCTGATCGTACACTATGCTTCAGCATCTGGACTCTGTTCGGGAAAAGCCTCACATACCTCACTGTCTTGTATGTTCATGTGACATCAAGTAGAAATGTGGAATTATATATATATATATATAAAAAATATGTCACGGTTCTGTTGCCAAAACTCTAATAGACAGCAGAGATGTTCTGTATTTTAGATTTCACAATTTTCAACTTTTAATAAGTGTTTGTCAATGTGGAAAAGCTACTTCAGCACATTTTAAACTTTTAAAGGTGTCATGCCTAACATTATATATCTGTACCATTTGGGGGTTTTGTACATTGGATTATATAGATAGAGATTTTGATGGTTTTAAATGGTATTTTCTTCATTGACCAAGGCTTATGGTTTGTTTTAGTTTTAGAATTTTGTTTTGTTTTTCATTTTTTATAGATTTTTTTTCCTCATGTTATTTACTATTCTGCCATGTAACATGGTTTTGAATCACACAGCAGCTGCTTTCTATACATACATATGTGTGTGTCTATATATATATATGTATGTGTGTGTATATATACACAGATATATAAATAATTTATAAACCTTACCAAAACGTATGCTAAATATACTTTCCATTATGACTGCTTGAGAGTGCCATATCAGCAATTAGTGTTGGAGTCTAGCAGTTTTAGTTAAGTGAACATCAACAATCAACATTTATAAAACAAATAATATATAGCAGTGCCATCATCAATACAGATATATAGTATACTATATAGCACATATATTAGCAGTTTCACTTTGTTACTCCTATAATACCTTCTTTCTAAGTACTATTAAGGACTGAATGTGAAGTCTCTAGTTAGATTTGGGTGTACCTTTCAAGAATTTTGTAAACTGTTTTTGTCTGTCTTTTGTTACTGTTTTATGGTGCCAAGTATTGTATATTAAAACAATAACAACATGGGAGAAGAAAATTAGAAGTCTGTTTCAGATAGCATCTGCACCCAACACAGACTGTATTTATACAAAGTGTTAGCGAAAAGGACTGTAAATTTTCTTACTTAGTAGCTATGTGCAACCTGCAACATAACCTTGTTATGAACATTTTTCTCCCACCACAAAGTACAACATTAAAAGGTGATTAGAGAGTCTGTTGATGAAACACAAATGTATGTTTTATTGATTTAATTTAGAACACTACAGAGTTCATGGACTGTGTGATGGCATTAGATTGATGCTTGATTTTGGTATAAATCACTACCATTGAAAATGATTTGATGTCCGCTTGCAGAATTTGTTTTCACGACAATACAGTCTAGGTTTGTATTAAGTACTGTTGTTCATAGGGTTTCTGCAGCTCTGTAATGTCAATGTGCCATGTTGCAATATAACCACCTGGTAATTCTATTTAACACAAATAGAGATTCAACTCATGGTAACTTTGAAGGCCTTTAGAAATGAGTACTCTGGTTCTCAAGCAATAAATCTGATCATAATGAAAAATGACTGTGTCTGTCCCATTAATTTTGGGTGTGGGGATTATGCAGAAATATGAAGTTGTCCTCTTAATTTTCTGCTAATTGACTATATTCTTTTTTTGTCTGAAAACCTAGGCAGATAATAAGATGCATTTTTTTGTCTAAATTGAAACACAATACAAACTGAGAAGAAATTTAACAGACTGATTGCACTTTAAAATGTGGGATTATTTTATTATAAATTGTTAATCTGACTATAACAGTGTATTTATAGCTACTCCTAATAATATACCAACACCACCAGGATCTTTAAACTTCTAGCCCCTGATTGTTTTATAGATACTGGTCTACATGCTCTTTCCTGAGCTCTCTTGTCATAAAAAATAATACTGCCTCTTAAAAAGGGGAAAAAACTAAAGACTTCATATAGACTAGGTAAAATAATAAACTGTGGGACCATAAAGAATTCTAAGCCATCTAAAGAAGAAACAGCTATACAGATGACCTATTAGGGTAACTTGTTGAGTTGAGAAATTCTCAACAAAATTAATTCAACAACATTCATAAAATGCTATTTCAGTGTTTAAAAAATTGGAGGCATGATCTTTCAAATGTGTGGGTCCCAAGTAGTAAGTTTTAAGAAAGATCCCTAATAGAAATTCCTCTTCTTGAATAATATCTTGAAAGCCTAATAGTTTGTGGTAAAATATTTTATATTTACCTAAAGTTTTCTATCAAATTACACATTCACTGAATTGTATGTTCTCCCCTTCATGGCATTAATGCTGCTAAAGTCACAGTGATCATTAAATACTAACTTCAGTATCTAACTTTTTATTTTAATATGCAACATTGATTGTATAACTGTTGTGTTTTAATCTGAATATGGATTTCTACAATGGAGAATTTCGTTCTAGTGCGACTATTAATTTAATATTATAGAATATAGACTGTTCCGATCAGGCCAATATAGCATTGTGTTCCCAGCAATCCCATTATAGTTAGTAGAAATAACAACAGATTGTTGTGGATGGAGAGGTTAAATACCTCTTGCTCTCGGTCAGTTTCATGGGTTAAAAGCTACCTTGAGCTATAGAAAGATACAAATAACTGAATATATATTTCTGGGCACCTTGAAACTCAATTAATTAAAAATAAAGTCTGTAGAGGAACAATTGTAAGAATTCAGGCTGACCTCTTAACTATAGGAGGTTTTATAATCCTGTCACTTTCCCTTAGCAATCAGTTAATGTGCTTAGATTTGTCCCTGTAGTTCCAGTTGTAATGAAGCAGGCACTACCCTTCACATTCATGTATATTCAAGACACACTGGGGGCCAAAGTAAGGATTTTTCTTAACTTGATTTTTAAATGTAGATAAATAGAGCTTAGTCCTTCAAACCCTTATTGCCTTCAGTGGGACCTTTCGCCTGAGTAAGAATTTACAGGACCGCCCCTAGAATAATTAGCTGCCCTGACAGAAAGACTCCGATGCGTTAAAAGTCAGAGTGAAATAAATCGGCCTCCTCCCAAACCCCGAAGTGACACCACCTGAATCTCTGTGTGAACATCCTGAGGCGCAGCTCTAACCAATCACCAGAGAGCTGATCATTAGGGCTGGTAGGTGGATAAGCAGCCTCTACGCTGAGGAAAGAAGAGATCAATGTGTCCCAGTAAAGTGAAGTAGCCTTCTGGAATCTAAGCTTTTCTGTCTTTCCTTTGGAAAGGTGTTGCCATCTGAGAAGTAAGTGCAAAGGTGAAATCCCATCGGGATCTCTGAAGAGGGATTGGGGCTCTTTCCATCAGCTATTTATCAAATTGGAAGCACATCAAAGTATGAAACATGAGGAAGGAAACAAGGACTGAAAGATCACAGTAAACCGAGTAAATATGAAAATACAAGAGCAAACAGTACACCTTGGGTACTTGCCTTCTTCCGTAGCAGCCCTAAATTTCTTCCCTGGTCAGGCCACATTTACAGGGGACAGGATAATGTATTAATGAACCTTTAGCCTTTCTACAACATTGTCAATTAAAGACAACATGGGGAATAATGCTAACCTGTCAAAAGAGGGCTGCACTTGTAGTATACCTAAATTGTATGTCTAATTGACTATTTTGCATAAAGAGGTAAACTATCCACAGATAAATGGCTCCTACTATGCAGCTGATCTAGCTGCAGTAGGCTTGCTAGGAAAGGGCGGCGAAGGAAGGGCTGGGGGCTTAGTTCGGCCACCTTTTAGTGAGAGAGGAAATGTGGTTTTAGGTTAACTACTGTATTGATTCTCTGTCGGAACCTCTGGTTTGTCACTTACCTGATAAGAAGTTAGTGTCTTGAGAAAATACTTATTTGGCTTTAAGTTTTAAATGGTTTGAGACCTCAGTTGTAATGCCATTTTAGGTGGTTTATTATCCATAGAAAAGGCACTAGCCGCTCCTCTAGCAGCCGGTCCCAGACATGCTCTGCCTGGCTTTGGCCACAGAGCGCTTGCCCCTCAGCTGGGGACATTGCCCAGCTCTCCTTAGCGCTCAGAGACACTAACGGAAGGGGTGCTTCACAGAGGGCGTTGCAGTACACCTTGAGGACCTACCAACTCCTCTAAAGCCGCAGATATTGCTGTGACCTCTGCGGTGAGTGCCGAGTTAAGATCTTTCTATCTGCCTCGTTTGTATGGAAGCAGACAAAAGTTGCACGCAGTCTTTTCCCCCGGGCTTAAAGGTGTGGTATACCCACCCTGCCAGACCAGCGGGGGGGGTTTGCTCCGTGCGCACGGGCGTGGGGGCGACTGGTCTGCAGGCTCCAGCCATGCGTCTTCCTACAAAATGAGCTTGCTGGACTTTAGAGGTCTCCGAGGAATAAGAGCGGCCATAGCCGACGTCAGCCCAGGTCCTAGCAGCAACGGCTTGTGCTGAAGAGAAGGGCCCACACTCATGGGACACTCAACAGGATACTCGGGGTCAGGCCCCAGCCACTCTGCGGCCTTTACTTGGGGCTGATTCCCACGGGCTCCCAAGGCAATTCTGCCGGAGTGAGGCCGGCGGGCTCGGGGCCTGTGCGTGGCGCCCCTGGGGCGGGGGTATAACAAGTGCTGGGGGGGGGGCTGGCTCTGGGCTCCCCTGCTCCCACTGAAAACGCAGCCGAAGAAGTGGGTTTTTACCCACGAAAGCTTATGCCCAAATAAATCTGTTAGTCTTTAAGGTGCCACCAGACACCTTCTTGTTTTGTAGATACAGACTAAGACAGCTACCCCCGATACAAACCCCGCTTGAACCACGTGTGGCCTCCGAGCCATCAATCTGCTCCACTGTCAAAAAGAAACTAGAGCCGCTCCTCCCTCTGCTCGGGGCTAGCGGGGCCGGCAGCGAGCTGCGGCGCCCAGCCCCAGGGCAGGAGAGGAGGTTGGGACCGGGCCACAGCCGGCTCTCGGCTTGTTTCTTGCCGAAGGGGGAGGCGGCCCTGGGGCTGCCGGCTGCAAGCGAAGGGCATGCCGGGTTCCCCCGCCCCAGGAGAGGGGCGCAGGGAGGTGAATCTGCCCCTGCCGGAGATCCGCGCAAGGCGGCGGCTTTCCCCTCCCCCCCAGGTCAGCGGCTAAGGCCGGAGCCCGGCCGGGCGCTGCTGCGGAGCTGTCAGTGCGGCTCCGGGGCGCGTGTTCAACCGGGCCGGCCTCCAGGGCACCAAACCCGCTGCCTGTCCCCCGCCGCGCGAGTCTCCGGGCAGCGCCCCAAGCTAGGCGGGGAGGCTGCCCGGACCCAGCCCTGCGCGTCTCCCGGAGCGGCCTGCGGGGGTCGCCGAGCCCGATTCTGGTCCAGGGGCTCCCTGCAGCCCGAAGACGCCCCTGCCCAGCGGAGTCTGTGGCCTTTGGGGGGCAGAGACTCCGGCGCTGCCGTCTGCGCTGGGCTCAGGAGGCTCCTGGCGTCCTGCCGGCGGAGCGGGGCGCTCCAAGACTCCCGCGGCTGGTCGGCTCACAGAAGGGTGGGAACCGGCCGGGCAGCGCAGGCTAGCACCTAGGCACAACGCCTGCTTTAACGGCGGGGCCCAATTCATGCTGCTGTGAGGGGGGAGATGTAAAGAGATTCACAAAGGACCCGATCCCACAAGCCTCGCTCAGTCAGAAGCCCAGTGGATCGCGGGATGGGGCCCAAACGCCAGGTCTGAGCCAAGGCGCATTTAGCTGTGGGGACTTACAAGAGGCGCCTATTATGATGCTTTAAATGGTCCAGCTTTAATGCTGGAGAAACCCCTTTAGTTGGAGTTAAAGCGGTTGCCAGACACTGCTCCCATCCAAGTGGCTTTCTTTAAAGTGATCAGGGACTGAATCATAGCAGGGAAAATGTAAGGACTCCCAGCGTTTGGAAACGGGTTTTCTTTTCTTTTCTTTTTTCTGGCTGCCTGGCAAGTAAAGAAGGCCCCTGCTTGGCTTTTCTGTGTAGCCCATTGCATTTGCTCAGATTGCAAAACAGCAGCTGAGAAGCAGAAAGAATGTCTCATTCATTTAAATAAAAAAACCTAACAATGAAACTCGCCTGGACTCTTAAGGCCCTTGAATACTCACAGAGCCCAGTTGCAAAAACCCCTGCTGATCGTGTCCTCCTCACGGAGCACTCACTGTACGGCTGTGGGAGCATCTTTCTCCCGCCTGCAGGTTTCCTCCCTAGCCACTTATGAATTGTCCAAACCAAAATTTTAAATATTTTGTCAAATAATCGGTGTCCTCTAAATAAAAATCACCGATTAGCTGAAAAGACAGAGCTGTTAGCTTTCACTACCCACGGTTTCCGATAAAGATAGCACCAAAAAGAAATAAAATAAATCCTATTTCTACCGTTCTACTAGTAAGGTCAAAAAGTTGGCCCTGTAGGCTTCTGTCTTTGGGATGGTGTCAAGATAACAGTGGGCGTTAAGCTACTAAGTGCCTACGTGAATCTAACAGATGCTTACCACTTACTGTTGGAAAAACAGCGTCTTATACTGCAACTCTCTCCCCAGAAGGCAGCTGTTAAATACGTAGTTTGGTAGCTGCTTGTAGGATGTTTCCGATTTTATATATAAAAGAAAGAGAGTTAATACACTCTCTCTGCCTCCTTCGGAATACAGATACATTGGAAAGATATTGCTTCTTTCTTTTGGTATGTGCCAGGGACACATTTTAAGTTTTGCAACTTGTGTTGCGCTCCCCGTTTAGTGGTCAGGAAATGTGGTATTTGGTGCATTCACAGCCGAGCTTTTCTGAACAGGTGTGTGAAGATGAATTTATACATACGTATTGGACATAACTTTTCCTCCCGCTCATCTCATCCTGGAAATCTGGGCTCCTCTTTCTTTCAGGGTCCAGTGTGATTTTCCCTTCTGTGCCCGAACCAGTGGCACCCTTCGCCCCGCACCCGTCCTGGCTCGGCTAAGGGAACTCACATTCGCTTACTCTATTTTAATGGAATATTTTTCATGGCCTGGGAGAATGGCCACAATAAACCGCGGAAAGAACTTCCTAGTTCTTGGCAAGCCAAACCTGAGCAAGCTCCTTCCCCCAGGGGCCTGCTTTTTCCAGCACTGTGCTCCGCACGTTCAGCAGCAGCAAATTTGGAAAAACGAAAAGGCACAAAAAGCGGTGAACAATTGCAAAGCGGTGATTTACAAAACAATAATCATAGACTTGGAGAAAGTGGTGTCTTTGTCTCTGTCCCTTCGCTTCCCCCCCCCCCTCCCCCGCAGAGCTCTTAGTTCTTCCAAAATAAGCTCTAAACGCCAGTTAGCAAAGTCTGGCTCAGATCACAAGTTCAGATCCTCGAACCTCTTTGCTTCGGGTGTACATTTACAAAGGATTTAAAATAGTAGTAACAAACCAGAGCCAGCCAGTTTTGCAGAGGAAGCAACAATTGGTAGGTGGCTGAGACTAACCTCCATCTCAGGCAAGGAGCTAGAATCTGCCAGGGGGTTATTTCTGCAAACCGCTCTGCTTCCAGTGACTTTGGGGCCGGGAAAGGCTGGTGGCAGGACTAAGGCCCGACCCTGCATTCCTTGGTGCTGGCTTCGGGGAGCACAGGGCGAGGGGTTAGTTCCCTCGCGTGTTTCATTTGTGCACTAGGGTTTAATGAAACGAAACGCAAAAACCAAGCCAATAACTCCGCCAACGATTAAAAAGGAAGGTGAACTGCTATTTCTCACACACAATGAAAGCACTGGCCAGGGTAAGCGCTCGGGACAAGCCCTTACCGCCCCAGCCTCCAAACGGGCAGTGCATTAGCTACATAGCCAGGGTTACACCCCAATTCCACCCCTTGCTTTCCACTCGAGCTCCTGTCATCGGCGGGGTTCGCTCTGATTTCCAATACAGCGGGTCACTAGGAGAGGCGCCGCTCCGGACCGGACAGGGGCAAAGGAGCCGACTGAATCTCTTGCTTTGGAGCTCAGTTGGGACGCGAGCCCCTTGAAAACGTTCCCAGTCCCCACCCCTGTGACACCGCAGCGCGAAGTTACCCTGCAACAGTTGGGCGAGCTTCTAACTCCAACCTCTTCTCTCCTCCCTTCCCCTTAAATAAACCTTCGAAATATTACTGGGCCAGGCTGAGATTGAAAAACAAACCCACAAGCCACGCGCTAAAACAACTTTGCTTCTAGAACAACAAATTACTCCCCCCTCCCCCACACTGGGATTGACTTCAGTTAGCACCCCCCCCTTTTTGCCGAGCTGGGACCCCCAACTACCCCAGGGGGGCTTAAAATCCCTACTTATTGTGAACTACATGGGGGTGAGATGGAAAAAGTAAAATTAAACAAAAAATCGGGGGGAAACGCGCCAAAGGAGAAGCTTGTTAAATAATTTATTGATTTATACAAAGTCTTTCCAACCGGCATGGAGGGAATAGTTTTAATCCAATTTAAACTCAAGTGTCCAGTTTTGTCTGTCTTTTTGGTTGTTTTTTTGATGTGATAGAGCATAAAATCCGTAGCGAGGAAGAAACTAAAACTGCCAAAACGCTCAATGAGAGGGGGGGGGGTGAAATAAAAGAGCCATTTTTACACTAGAAATATACATCACAAAATTCTGAAATTTCCTATATACAAAGTGGCTGAGCTGCAGTCGGTGATCCATACAAAACAGTAACAAAATCTGATTGTTAGGAGCAGGAAATTGGCAAGAAAGAGGGGAGGTGAGGGGGGAGAAAGTAAAAAAAAACAACAAAAAACACAACCCAAAACAAATAAAGGAACGTTGGAAAGATTCCTCTGCAATTTACATCAATGAGAAGAAAGATAATTTCATAACTTATTCTGTAAAAAATATATACATTTCACATACATCTTAGGCTGTACAACACATCACTTTTAAACATCCAGTTACAATTCTTCTTTATAATGTTTTATACCCTGGTTATTTCAGCTTTTATAAAGCGCCTTAGGGAGCAGTCAGTCTTGTTCGCTAGGGTCTCTTGCCCTGTATCACAAAGTATCCGAGTTGTTACTGCAGGGGCTGATGAGGGCTAAATTTGTGGATTTGTGCTTTTTCAATAACCTCGTGATTTTTTCATCGTCTGAGTTGGGGTCCAGAGGTTTGTTATATTCATCATCGTCCTCATTATCTGAGCTCTCCTTCAGCTTCTCCGTCTCTGAGTCGTGTTTTTTCTTAGCTGAGGCCATTTCTGCTGCGTGCCTCTTCCTCCATTTCGTCCTCCTGTTCTGGAACCACACCTGTTGGAGACCCGGTAGAAGAGAGGGGGGGAAACCCTTAGCTGTAACTCTCCTTCCAACACCTCATCCTCCTACAGATTTGAAACCCTCCCTCCATACACTCATAGAGCGAGCGCCCTTCAGAAAACTTGGTTTCACTTTCCCTCTGGAATATTGCTTGCCCTTGGCTGTTCCTGTTTAAACAGTAAAGTTGGGGGCCTATCGCCGTGTCTAGGCCTTTAACATCACCGGTTCCATCTCACAAGACAGCAGGATCGTTTATGTACTATTAAAAATTCAGTGACTTTATATGAAAGGAGATCAACACTTTTGACTCTCAAACAATAACATAAAGGCCAAACACTGTACATAAAAGTATTAAAAAGTGGCTAGACTGCAACAGGATAACTGTAGAGAAATGTGTATGTTTGTGTAAAGTAATTGCACCTGCCTCTGTATAACACAGCTCATTCAAATTGAATCTTTATGGTTTAACAATGTCAGGCGAAGGAATATAGTGTCCTATTCCTAACTTCCCTTTTGTTACAATGAAGCCAAAATTAATTGTTGTTCAAATGGAATTTTGGTAGCATTGGAGAATAATATTCTTTTGAAAAGAGAATGACCAAGAAAATAGTTCACGGTCAAATTATATATAACCCAGCATACAATAGTCCAACATTGCCAAAATATTTCCCAATATTATTGTGTTTAAACAAAATGTACACATATCTAATATCCCACACGGAACTCATTGGAATATTGAGAAATGTGAAACCATTTCACTTGAGTAGTTTGTAACTGATTTGCAAAGCTAAGGACTCTATATTTAAGACAACGCAAAAGAACTTTAAAAACACAAAGGTAAAATCTATTACATATAAAAATATTTTAATTATAAATAACCTAGAAGCGTTTTTTTATATTTTTGCATCATTATAAGAAATTAAACCAATTGTGAAAAGCTATAATTGTGTTGTCCAGAAAATAAAATATTACTCTTGCCATTAAAGTAAATCAGAACTTTAGGTTATGTCTCCTGTCGTAATTGTAATACTCCCACAGGGTCTGTTAATTCAGTAAATTGTGAGCTGAAGAAGCAGTTACACTTCAGTTACGTGCCAGTTTCATCTTTCAACATCTGTGACTCCATTCATAAAATAATCTTTACTCAGAGACGATTCTGGTGTGTAAAACGGGGCTTCTTACCTTAACTTGACTTTCTGTCATTCCTAACGAATAGGCCAGACGAGCTCTCTCAGGTCCTGCCAAGTATTTAGTTTGTTCAAACGTTTTCTCCAAAGCAAAAATCTGCTGCCCTGAGAAAGTTGGTCTTGAGTGTTTCTTCTTTCCATCTTTGTCCAGAACCATTCCAGTCTGGGCTGCAAACAGAAGAAATTATCCCGGTCGGTTACTAAAGACTACATCTAATCTCCGTGCCAGAATCTGTTCTCCAATATAAAACTAGAAAAATTCCCTTGGTTTCAATTACGTTGCTCCGGATTTCAACCAGTGTAACCGGGAGCAGGATTTTGCCCTGTAATATTTAGCAGACCACGAAACTGCAGAAACGGCATTTAAATGATAATGAGACATGTTGTGATGAAGTTAGGCTACAGTTTTTAATTTATTACTATGAACAGTGTGGGATTATGATACTGTTTCATGTATTGCAATTCTGAGTGCAACATGCCCCTGTGTTTTTAAGTCTCTACTGCTCAGTATCACAGAGAGGTTTACATCTTTATCCACCCGTTGTTGTCAATGGTATTTCCCACCTCCACCACCAGATTAGATAGTTAGGATAGCTCCATATATTTGCCTTTGTATCTAAGAAATCGAGAAAGATCCTGACTCTAAAAGGGACCTCTACAATCTCCTGGTGCAGCCAGACAGTAGAAAACACTACCGGGTGAGGGGGCGGATTTCAAAATTTCCTTAACCAAAGAGGCCTTAATAAAAAGTCTGATTTCACGACAGAAAAAAAAATCCAAAACCAAACTCTCTCACACACAAATGTATTGGATCCTTCAACGCCCCCCCCCCCATCACTTCCTGCTCCCTTCTAGGATCAGATGCACCCTCACTTACCAGGACAGGCGATTCTCGGATCTCTCCAGGGAGATCCCTGCATAACTCCCGGCCAGAAAATGGGAGGTCGCCCAGGCAGCTCTGCCAAGGGCTTTGGGTACCTGGACACAGCTGCGGGGTTAAAATACATCCCTGCTGAGGTAGCCAGTCCATTAATCCGGGGCAGCCCGGTGAGGAGATTGCTGGTGGTTCCAACAGGTCTCCCCAGGATGTCGCTTATTCCGTGCGGCGTCCCTAAGGGGATCTGTGTGTTCAGTCCGCCCAGGGCTGGTGCTTTGAAGCTGGAGGGATTCTGCAGGGTGTAGGGGAATAGAGACGTCTTCATTTCAGCCATGTTATGCAGAGCAGCCAGCGGTGTACTGCTCAGAACAAATGCACTCTGGCGATTAGTATCCATCTGCCCCACAGCTAACATTTGTGATCATCAATAAATCTATATATAGATATACAAAAAAGCCAGCTGTTTTATTCTTAACCCACACGAGCAGCGCCAGCCACGGGCTCGTTAGTCTTAAAAAAAATCAAAATACCGGTGAGTAACAAAGTTTTGTGCTAAGTAGCAAGCGATCGCCTCGGCTCTGCCAGGACCTGCAGCTGCAGCAATGCACACTGTAAAGTTTCAGCCAGGAGGAAAACAAAAATGAGGCAGGAAAATACTGCAAAGGAGAGGGAGGCAAAGTCTCGGTCAAAACAGACCTCAGCTGGCAGTGTCCCTGGACGACTTTGATTGCTGAGCCCCGACTGAAAATCCACTAGGAAATCAGAGGATTCGGAAGGGTGGGTGGTTTTGATGATTTTTTGTTTGTTTTTTGGGGGTTTTTTTTTGGTAGTTACAGGCGAGTTCCTTCCCTGTGAAATTGACTCAGAGCTGAGACCAGAGCTGTATAAGATGCACAGATAACCGCACAGCCACCTGCAAGACGCGTTCTCTGATTGGATGAACCCGCTTCAGGGGCAGCTCGGATTGGCCAATGGATTGGCACGCTGGTCCTCCACTTTGCATCAACGTCATTCGGGAAAAGAGCAACACTAAATGAAGATTTTATTATAAAGTCAAGGTACTTTAAATGGCTGTAAATTTACCCACTGATTTATCTTTCAAGCGACTAAATAAATCCAATTGAATGGGAGTTTAGTTAGGCTAAAGCTTTAGAAGGGAATCAAAAAAAAATATGAGCACACATATGATCAGATCGAAATAATGCAGATTTTGAGATCAAATTAGTAATGCGTTAGTTTAACCCTGATTCCTAGAAAACCAACTAACAACAACAGCAAATTACAACTTCGTTAGTTTTATTTTTCTGTTGTTTTTTTCTCTATTCAAAATATGTCGTTAAGTCATGGGAACCTAAATAGAAGTGCTAATAAAAAGTATCACACCATGTATCTGAGCATTAGAGTTGCCTTTTCCCCTTGATGCTCAGACTAAACAATACTCCAGGCTGTTTACATTTGTCACACAGACTGTTAATTCTAACTGTTCGATACATTCTAGGCTATAGAAGGATCGCTCACAAATGTGCAGCGGATTGTGCCCAGCGTTCTCTTTGATATCAAATGTAGATATTATTATTATTATCTCTACAGCACCAGTGCCCCGTAACCTAGAACGCGCTTCTTAGTTGTCAATCGTATCTGTACAAAGGTTTTAAAGAAGACCCAGACTTTTGACTAACCGAGCAAGGCTGGCATTCTGTTTGGGAGTGAAATACGCTCTTGTGGTTCTTTTGTCGTTTACAGTTTGGGCCGATTGTAACTCACGGGCAGCTATGCCGGTTCAATGTGGGCTTTTGAATGCTGTTTACCTGATGATTAGTTTTCAATGCACCACTCTCTATTTAACTGATAATTAGTTCTCTATACTCTCTAAACTGCTCAGTATATATTAGATTTGAATTCTGACAGTATTTTTTAAAGTATTATAGTTTAGGATTAAGTTTGATAGCACGTCCTGCCATCGGGGTTTAAATAGAATTCTCCACTGAAATCAGTGGGGACGTCTGCTTAAAAACTGGTGGCTGCATGTGGTCTGCTGTTCAAACTGAAAGAATGTCTCTTAAATAATAAACGTGCTTTATACGTGAACTCGCAATATTTTAAAGTGCATTTGCAGAAATATAAACCTTAACAAAGATTGTTTCCTAATCGAAAACATTCTTAGTTGTTACGAACATGAAAAAGTGAGTAGGTGCCAATGCCATATTGTTGGAAAATACATCTGGAGGGATTTTTTAAAGGGATGCTTTCTTAGTTTATTTTTGAAGGACTTTTCATGTAAGTTGTGGATACATTATTAGCAAAGGAAAATAGTGTGAACTATAGCTAACAGGGAAGTGAAACGTTCTAAAGATTTTTTAAAAGATACCTATGAATTTCCAAACGAAGCAAGTGATCATTAATATTAAATAATGAAATTTAAACATATAAATTTAAATATACATAATATTAAATGTATACTTTAATTTATTAAACGTATTAAATACAGTAATTAAATGTATGATCAGGACATATAACAGTTGAAGAGTAGTTGTTTGTCTTGAAATTGCTACCTGGATTATATTAAAATACATTTCTGGAATTAAAAACTTCGACTAGACCAATTATCTTTATTTTAGCCACTCTGATGTTGTGTTCTCACTATCTGTCCATCCTGTTATACACACCATTGTACATAATATTTGCAAGGAGCTGAAAAAAGCAATGAAATTGTTTGTTGAGGCCTCTTTAGAGTGTCATCAGCTTTGTATCCCAGGTCATATGTTTTATAAATACTATAATTAGAATTTGTATTTAAAAAGAGACGGTGAATGTCATCTTCTTTCAGCTCTTTGAATTGGGTACAACTACATTTTAGGTTCAGGCTTTGCTGTTCGGTGCTTAAAGGATAGTACAGAGGAAATTTATATTCATACAGCATCATGCACTGCAAATTCATATCTAAGCTGTAAAGATTCCTAAATCCGCTTTACAATGTCCCGAGTTTGATTCCCATTGAGAATGAGTTGATCATTTTTTCCTTCCGCTGTTTGGGTATGCTAAAGAGGTTCCAGGTGAGCTAAGCCGGTTTATTATTCTTTTTGACTTTTCCGAAAAGTGACTGGTTAAGTGTTTGTCTTCTTAAAGGAGAGAATCCTTTACAGTTTTCTTTTGCCCTTTACCTGTCCGGTGGGTTTCGCTCTCTCTCTGATATTTCTATTTGCACGTTAGATTGTTTCCCTTGTAGTGATGTGTGATTTTATCTTGTCTTCCTGTCCCTCCCTTCGCCCCCACCGCACACTAGTATTTAAATAATCATACATGTGAGAGAACAATCTGGCTTCAGTTTGCTACTCAACCATAGTGACTGCTGCATACTTTGATACTGGCAGAATTTAGCATCCCCAGGGTTTAGGTGATTTGTGGAGATGAAAGTCACTTGAGCCATTGCAGAAATATATTTCCAATATTTAGCAGTGCAGGGGGACCTGAAATGATAGGCGAGTGGTGCTATTCGCCTGGAGTGAACCGATATTTCCCCCTCTATGAATATCGATTTTTCATTCATTGACCATTTCAGTTCCAGCAAAATATAGAAAAGCCGCCCCACGGGTGATGGGAATCGTGCTTTAATTAAAATAATAGATACAGGCAAAAAACTATAATTCCCTAGGGAGCAGAGATTACCGCCAGGTCTCCCGGGTTTATTTTAATTACACAGGACAGATTAACAAAGGAAACATCTCACTTGCTTTTCTAGTTGTTGGGGGAGAAACTGACACCTAAGTGCGCTCCAATTCCGAGTCCCTTCGCACTTTGCAGGGATCTCATCGCTTAAAGGGAAACAAGCGCTGGTGACCATCCATTCTCTCCCACCGATCTGAACCTGCCCTTTAGAACATCACCCAGGAGCTCAGCCCAGCGCAGGGGGTATTGAGAATGTGCGCTCATGACTGGTCTTCGTGCTGAGACTCACCTGGCCTTGGCCAGTTGGCCTTCTGTTCCAGGCGCTTGGAGCAGAGCGAAGCATTTTCTTGTTAAAGTGGAAGGAAGGGGGAGAGCCCTGTTCCCATTTCCCTTTGCAATTTGCTTGCTCCACTGAGGATTCGCACTTGCTTTGTACCGTAGTTTGGATCATTCTGTTTAAAGATCACCCCCATGTCCTCGTTTATCCCAGATGATCGAAGCCCAGGGGCGTTTTGATAGGGTCCCCATATGCACTACAGAGCAGTAAATAGGGACAGAATTTTATCCCCCCACCCCACCCCCGGGTAGATTATAGAAAGAATTGCCGCGTTCACATTAATCCCCGCATGTTCTTTTGTATTTCTCCTCTTTACAAAGTTCCCTGGAGCATGTTTAATTCAGGGGAAGGTGCAATAAAAGTGACGGGACATAGCGGGACCATTGTAGGAGGAGATGGTTGTATTGAATGCTAAGGTTATCACCGAGACCCAGCAACAGAACAGACACTAGTTTTCCGTTGTCTCTGGAGTCCTCCAGTGTTTCAGGTTGCGATTGTTGTTAAGTGTGTGAAACACTGAACTGCTCCGTGTGCCGTGTAGTCATCATTTTATTGAGAGCCTTGGCGGGCCCCACACATGCATAAGTTCCCTTAAAGAAAGGAAATAGTTTGCCTTCCACTAAGTGTGGGCTAGCTGCAGACTCTGTTCCCATTTTGCAACAGGCCGGGACAAACCCGCCAGCAAACAGTAATGAAGGAAAACAAAGCGCTTAATAGAGAGGGGACAGATGCTCTGACGTCTTCTGCTCTCTGTAACCCGGCCACAATTGGCCTTGTGTTGGGAAGAGCTCCCTGTAGGAGACAAAGGGACATCTAGTGTCATAAAGAGCCCACATCCAGGCAGAGAGCAGGGCACCACCCCACACTCAACAAACCCAGGGACCTTTTCAGCCAGTTCTTTGTGAAGAAAGAATGGACTGACTCCGCCTGACCGTCACTTCATAGTTCCAGGCTGGGAGGTTCAGGCTTCTCACTTTATTACCCCCAGCCTACTTCCATTGCTACTGAACGCGCCCATCCTGCACACGCAGCTGCTAATGTACACAGACTAATATCGGTGACCGTGTGAAGTGTAATGACATCTAACGCACTTTACCTTTCTCCACTGCTTCTAACCTTCTTCTCCCCTTTCCCCCACCCATAAATACAGAGACTCAACTGCTTTGGCAGCCTTAGATGGAAATGAAACTGTAAAGTCAGCATTTAAGCCAAAATAAACTTTGTAAATGTCCCAGGTGTAGGTTTGAATTCTGAGGTGAAATTGAGAGATCATGTATGCCTTGAAATTTCCCAGTACTATACCACCCTTTTTGTTCTGCCCCACGGTGCTTGTGAAAAGTTTCTTCCACAATTGCTCCTTCTTAAACTGTCAACAAGGAAATACGTTTATTTCCAGCGATCACCAGCCTATGCACGTTTTATGGGGATGAAATTATAGTTTTTGCTAATTTTCTCTTCTCTCGCTCTCTCTTTCCTGCGCCTGTCATTTGGGTTCTTTTAAAATCCTGCCATAAATAAAACACACTCCAATATTGAGATGAGAAATCCTCCTTACAGCCCCTCGTCTTCACGCTAAAACATTGCTCTGAGCTTTGAGAATAATTTATATCCGTCATCAATGACACTTGTTACTCATTAATTGTACATTTGTCCTGTTTATTGACTTTCGTGCGATCTAATACCCCGAAGTTTTCTAGAAGGAAATATATGGCTCTTATCTCTGCAGACCCCACGGCGTGATAAAACTGCTTTTACAGTGTTTTATATCTTTTCTTTTGGCGCTTCCATGAGACAGGACACATTAAAAAGCGGCATCAGTTCAAAGTCCACAGCCTGGCAGCGCGACACCCCGGGAATAG